TCTGGGGCCAAGAGGGGCATTTCCAGCGATTCACGAGCGGAAGGCTAGAAGGGGGCCCTGTGCTCAGCCTCTCCGGCCGGTGGGGAACCCTGGCTCTGCCTGGAGCTGGTTCCTGTTTGGAGAGCTTAGAAAAACAGTCGTCCCCGCCAGCCTGAGCCTGAAGGCGTCATCACCGCGCACAGGGCCTGACTCGCTCCCTGCGGGGAGGGAGTGAAACCTGCACCGCTCTCCTCTACGTGTGGCAAGCGCCAGCTTCCAGGCCTCCACTGGTGTTGGCCCCTGGTGCGACCAACAAGTCCCCAGTTACCTGATTTCTGTTCCCAGGGCAAGTCTCCTGCTTGTGCGCCGTGGGCCTCTCCCTGTCCGTCAGGGGCCTCAACTCCCATTTACCTGTAGGACCAGGGCCAGTGGGCACCCCGCTGGCAGGGCTTCCGGGGAGGGGCTCAGTTTCCCTGCATTCCCCCATTTCCTGGTCCTCCATGCTACCCCCCCCCCACCTCGCATGTCCTCTGGCCCTTCCTACTGCAGCACAGCTGAGCTAAAGCAGCTTCTAGCCGCTAGCCTCCTGCGGCTGCCAGCTCGTCCCTGTGGTCTGGGGGCGCTGTGAGCAGAGGCCTCCCAGCTACCGCACCGTCACACGGCTGCCCTGGGTGCTGTGGGAGGCCCCATGGCACTTTCCCTGACTGCCGTATGAACAGGACAATCCCCCATGCGCGGGTGAGCCAGTGGGACCCCGGGCCGGCAGCTGCAGAGAAGCAGAGTGACACTGCAGCCTGCTCTGCCCTGCCAGCATCTGCCTGTCAGCGTGTCCAGTGGGCTTGAGGGAAGGGTGCACGGGGGTGGGGAGGGGCAGGGCAGAGCCTGGGCTGGGGGAAGGACAGGAGCACACACTCGTGGGCCAGCTGCTGGGCGCTGGCTGGACTGCAGAACTGCTCAGGTGCTGCTGGCCTGCGAGCTGTGAGCTTGATCCTCTGCTACGCGGCCTGTTTGCCAGTCCTTGCACAGGCGCCCTGGCCTCCCTGCGCTGCAGCCTCCCGCTGTGGGCTGGCCTCCCTGCAACACAGGCTGAGTGTTCTCTAAAACCAGAGCCAAGGGCTCGACTTCCTGCTGCAGGGCTTCATGCTGGTCCCTAATCAGGAGCAAGAGCTGGGTGGTGGGAGCCAGGGCCATCCTTACAGGGTGTGGGGGCCACGACAACCCACCCCAGACCCCACTGCTCCTACCTCCCCCAAAGCCACATGAATGGGGGTCTGGGGCCAGCCGCAAGGGTTGCTCTTGGGAACAACACAACCCTTCACCCAGACAAAAGCTTCCCCAGCTGATCTGAGGGGCCGGGGCGAGGCCGAGAGCCCATCCTGGACACTTCAGCTTTTCAGGCCCTGGTGCCGTATGCCGGGGACCGGGCCGTGACTTTTTTCTGATTTTATGGCGCTGTGTTTCTCCCCCAGGGGCCTGGAGCTCTTTTCAGGTCCTGAGTTTAGCCCTATTCTTTGAGCCCTCCCACCTGAGTTAGGTGGGGCTATGCTGAAAGGCTATGTCTACATGGCTTCTTGCCTGAGAAATATGCAAATGAGGCTAAGATTTGCATACCTAATGAGCCATCATTTTTGCAGAAGAGGCTCTTGCGCCAGAAGGAGCTGTCTGCACTGCCCCTTCTTGCGCAAGAAACCCCTTTTACGCAATGCCGTTCTTCCCGAAAATAATCGGCATAGGGGCATTGCGCAAGAGGGGTTCCACGCTTAGCCTCATTTGCATATTTCTCACGCAAGAAGGCGCAAGTGTAGACACAGCCACGGTGTCATTCCCTGCTCCGACAAACCCATGGGACCTCTGACCCAGCCAGTGCACTGAAACGGGCATGTCATGGTGGAAGTGGGGCCTGGTAGCCCCCCGAGTACATGCCCGGGCTTCTGGCCAAGACACCACGCAGGTGGCTGTTCCATGTGTGCGAGCTGGATCAAAGCTGGCGGATACGGCTGCCTGCGCGGGAATTACGGCGCGTTCCCCTCACTTCCGAAAGCCCGTACCTGCATTGCGTTAGGGGTTGCTCGTCAGCCTAGGATCAGTATCCCAGAGGCAGGCCCCTGTTGTGAAGACACGAGCTCCAGCTGGCTCAATTTCACAGATGCACATGCGGGCGTGATTAAAAAAATGGAACCTTTTTATTCACAAACATACAGCGATGAAATGACCCCAGCGCGGCAGGGAACAGCCTGTGTGGTCCTGGTGATGTCAGCTCTCAAACAGCCCCTTCATTCAGTCCAGCGGTGGCCACAGTGGGGGGCGGTGCACACGTAATACAGCCTCATGGCATCCTAGAGAACAGAGAATGTGACGGAGGGCGCAGGGATCCCTGGACTCCGAGGCCAGCCAGCTGGACCCTCTGTGATCTAGTGACCTCGGGCTGGCCCAGGCAAGGGGACTGCGTTAACTCCTCCCACACCAGGAATCATAGCCACATGGCCCAGCAGGATTCAAACATCGACGGCGCTGCCGCTGCCATGGCCCTTGTGCTGTTCAAGGGATGCCCTGTTCCCAGCCTGAGCGGCTCTTGCTTCACCTTCAGCCACAGACACGTTAGCCCAGCAACACTCAGGGCGGCAGGAATGAAATTCGCGATCAACGGACTCAAAAGAGCCCCCAGCGTGTGAATTCATTGTTCTGTTTCCGACTGTGCTGCAGAGTCCTAGTGGGACAGCAGGCCGGGACTGTACTTAACGTATTAGTCCCACAGTTACTGTATCAGCTACAATTGGTTAATAATAGTAAAAGCATCTTGACTGGTTAATTAAAGCACAGCGATTAACACGAACTGCAGCGAGACACATTAAGCACCATTTGCGGCCTGCCCACCTGGCTCTGAGTCTGACGGTGATGCCTGGCTCTGCCTTGCTGGAGGGCCCGTTATTTGTCCCCACGGACGGAGCTCACATCACCCTTCACCGTCTCCTCCTTAGGCTAAACAGACCGAGCGCCCAGTGACACTCAGCAGCTGCAGCCTAGCGATCGGGCAGGTTCTCTGACCCTTCCTGTGGCATCTCTCTCGCCCCCTCCAGTTCATCACCAACCTTCTCGAATTGCGGGCGCCTGCAGGCCCAACACCGCGCTCTCCACTCCGACTCCAGCGTCCCATTTATGCACCCCAAAGGCAGCATTAGCCCTCCTGGCCACAGCATCTGTCCCACTGGGAGCGCCTGTTCAGCTCATTCCCCCTGGGCCCGCAAAGCTATTTGTCACCATTTCCCAGGATAGCCCCCCCTGCTCTGCCTGTTCTTCGGGCCCAGCTGGATACGTGTAATTGTATTCAAGTGCGTGAGGATTACAGGGGTCCCCTGGGGACCTTCCTAGCTCACCAAGGCGCAGCTAAGGCCTCTCTCTCACCAGTGTCCCTAATCACTGCAAAGCGCAGGTACCAACGCCAGGCCCGGGGCTGGGTGTCTACATGCATATTCCCCGCTGAGGTCGGCAGCTTGGGGCTCTGCACCAGGAGAGAAACCGGTTTGTCCCAGCAAGAGCTGTTATGTAGCTGTCTGCCTGGGCGGTGATGACTGTGTGGTTCATGCTGAGCCCCCGTTTATAGTCTGGGAACATGCTACTCGAGCAGGCGCCAGGCAGGGCAACACTTGCAATACAGGGTCAGCCTGTGGGCGAGGGCCGCCAATGAACGGTCACTAAAGACGAACTCCACCGCGGAGGGACGCAGGCTTGTTCGCCGAAGAGCCGCCAACCTGGCTGTGACACATGGGGAGGGTTCCCGGTGAGCGTTCTTGGTGAAGCTGTGGCTGTAGGATGTCTCATGGGTCCTTTTCTCTATCCCTTGATGCTGCTCTGCGTAAATAAACTTGCTCTTGCGTTCGAGAGGCAGATCTAGCGCTGTGGGGTCACTGACACGCTGCACTGTACCGGGGGGAGGAGCTGGGAATTCCACCAGCACCAGTGGGTTGGATAGCGCAGGCTGCAGTGTCTGTTAACCTGCAGACCCACAGTAGGGTCTGCGTCGGCCTGGGAGCGTGGGGGGAAGCTGGGCCCCAGCAGGCACAGACTAAGGCTTCCTCATGCGAAGGGCAGCTGGTGACAAGGTGCCCACAACCAGACTAACCCATCCCTCCCTGGGACGCAGCCTAGCCCATCCAGCTCCAACGCCCAGCCGCCGGCTCCTGTTGGTGCTTTGAAACCCTGCCCCGGGGGCCCACGACAGGCAAGTGCATGGAAATCAGACCCTCAGTGTGGACTACGTCACTGCGCCGGGAAGCAGACCCCTCACCTCAGCCCTTGCGCTGTGAGACTGGAAGAACACCGCTTCTTTGTGTCCGCACCTGCAAAGGAGAGAAGCCAGCGTCGCATCAGACAGGACGTCAGCTCGCAGGGCTGGAGTGACAACGTGGGGATTTTCCCTTCTTTTGTATGAGCCGACGTGAGTCTGTGCTGCAGGTATACGGAGTGTGCCTCAGTTTCCCTGGGTGCTGCACCGCTGTGTTGGTTTTGCAGGGGCTGCCGCAGCTGCCTGGACGTGAGCTATAGCCAGCCCTTTGTAACCTGAGCCCCAGGGGGAGGCTGTGACTAGAAGGGGGATGTTACCAGATGATTCTGGATTCAGATGAGAAAAAGACGGAGAGAAAGGTCAGGGGAGGTGCAACAAGAGCATCGGGGCCAGGCAGCGGGAAGTGGGTCAGTCTTGGCTGGCTGTGGGCTCGGGGGAAGGCCAGAGTCATGGCTCTGGGCTGCCTGCCTCCCCCCAAGATGGGCTTTACTGAAGGTTCCCGTGTTCTGTGCTAACAAGCTCTGTTCTATGCTGCGCCCCTGTCGACTAACCCGCCTCCCCTTCTGCACACTGACTGAGCCGCTGCTGATGCAGGGCCCTCTGGCTTCCCCAGCCACCCTGCCGGAGTGGACTCGGAGGCTGACTGCTCCGAGGCCAGCCCTGAGGAGCTCCGAGGGTGACAGTTGCCCTGGTGACAGCGTGCTCAGGGAGCAGGCACTGCCCGGAGCCCTGCCTGGCTGCAGACCAAGCCGTTCATAGAACCATAGAGCTGGAAGAGACCTCAGGAGGCATCAAGTCCAGCCCCCTGCCCAAGGCAGGACCTATCCCAACCTCGGAGGCTGACTGCTCCGAGGCCAGCCCTGAGGAGCTCCGAGGGTGACAGTTGCCCTGGTGACAGCGTGCTCAGGGAGCAGGCACTGCCCGGAGCCCTGCCTGGCTGCAGACCAAGCCGTTCATAGAACCATAGAGCTGGAAGAGACCTCAGGAGGCATCAAGTCCAGCCCCCTGCCCAAGGCAGGACCTATCCCAAC